AAACAAATCTCCAGACATTAATTGACCTTCGCCAAGTGACGTCAGAATTGTCCCTTTTCCTCTTCCGTACCCTGAAACACCAATCACAGCGCAGCGTCCGCCCACTTCGTCCCAAGTGTCCCATCKTGCAGCGCGGCTGAATTCTCCCAGTGACCGTCGGATCCAGACGGAGAGCGGTGATGGCAGCCGGTCGGAGCAACACGTAAACACCGCCTTTACATCCAGCCGCTGTGCCCGGGACGCTGCGGGGCAGGTAGCCTGTCACACCACGGCGGTGCTGCCGCCACAGACACGGTGGACCTACGGAGGGGTTCRTAACAGCTTCTCCCCTGCCTCTGTCCGTAAGGAAGACACTAAAATCTACGCATAAAAACATTTAACATGGACGAACACTCCGGCGGAGGAGGAGCAGCTGCTCCGCGGCAGCAGCAGCAGCAACAACCGGGGAGCAGCAGCAACGCTAATCCGTCGATTGGAGCGGTCATGGTGCCCCAGCAGAACGATGACCTACCACGGCCTCAGCAACAGTACACCATRCCCGGTATCCTGCACTACATTCAGCACGAGTGGGCCCGGTTTGAGATGGAGAGGGCACACTGGGAAGTGGAGAGGGCCGAACTCCAGGTTAGCCACTTAGCATCCACCAAGCTAGCTTCAGATTAGCTGCTTAGCATCGAAACATTTACCAGCAACAACAACCTGACTCGTTGTTTTTTTTCCTTTAACATACTCTCATTGTCATAATAGTCAAACCGTCATCATAGGACCTTTAAATTTCGTGTTGGTTATCCATTTTAAAGCTTTGTTTTACTGTTGGATGAGTAGTTCGAATCAAGCTAGCTGTGGCCTCTGTCTTCGACCAGGTAGCCTACATTATTTTATCAGTTTGTGACAAAGTTAAAACATGTAATGTTTACCAGCAATCATATGTTTGTTATTTCCGGCAGATTATTTTGTATTTTTTACCTCAAAATTATCCTGGTTCGTCACAATAGCACAGTTAGCTTTGTTGCTAATGTTGATGCTAAGGCTAGGCCTTTCAGATTAACACAGCAGGTACTCTTAAGAATATCTTGATCTCTAAGAAATCAGAGTGTTAGAAAGGTTACTGACAGCATCACATGCAGGCTTTGTGTTTGGTTTCTGATGTTTTCCCCTCAAAACAACAGTTGTGCTGTGTCTCTTTGAATCAATGGAGTTTAAACATCTGCAGACATAAAGAAATATCAGTTTTGCTAAAGCTGATGGTTTCATTTTAGTATAGTTCTGTCCCTTGTTTATTAAAGCATCCCTCTGTCAGCACGTCTCAGCTGATTTTCAAGGTTCAGTTTGTTTTAGAAATAGTTGTGAGTACAGGTGATGTCATCAAACTGGGTGTCAGCCAGGTACAGGTGGTTCAAAGAAACAAGCATGAAAGTCTCACTCATCCTAAATGCACCAATTTATGTATTTAAGAAACTGCTGCTGAGGTAGCTCAGATCGATCTGATGTGAAAATAAAAACACATTTTTACAACAGTTTTTAAAATTATGAAGGAAAATGCTGCCTGTTCGTCATTCAAATATAACATCAGAGATACACTGTAACGAAATTATGATGCATATTAACACAGGACATAAACAGCTTGACAAACTACTAAGTAATATAAAGTTTGAAATACTAAATTAAACAAAGGAAAGTGTGTTGGGCATATAAAAACAAAACAAAAAATATAGTAATAAAAAATAAAATAAAGTAGAAATAGAGTGAGGTAGAATCAAGATCAAGTTTGAGGTAGTTTAAATAAAAAGATATATAAGGTGTGTGCGTACATTTGTATTTGTCCAATATATAACAATTAGTGTGCAAAGATGATGAACAGGTAGATGAGATGACAAATTAATATCTTTATATAATGTTTTTAATATTTGTTTTGATTAGAGAGGATTTTGTGTGAACGTCTCACTTTAATTGTGAAACAGTTTGAAATAAATGACTGAGATTTCTTGGACGGTGGATTATGATTTACTGTATTTCTTCATATATAATACTAGAAATTTATGGGGGGGGTAGTATACACAGATTATTGATCATTKGATTTTTTATGCTTTTTAATCTAAAAAAATTATGATCGTATTATACATGAATAAATACGGTATGTTCTCTAAAGTYAACAGTAGATGAGGCTGTGTGACAGGTGCTGTTAGCTCACAGGAAACATGGTTTAGTAAAGCTTTACAGGAGCAGCTTCAGCCTCGCTCAGAAGGGAAATATAACAAACATTTAGTTCACACATCCAGGCTGGATGACTAACATCTTAAATATTCATTTGAACAATGATTTAAATTCTGTGAAATATTCTGACATTTTTAAAGAGAGTAAGTACGGTTTAGTAAAAGTGTGATTTTACTGTTTCACACACCTGTTCACACAACTGTTGTTCAATTTGACTGACAGGAGCAGAGTAAGGGACTCTGGTTTGTTGTTATGTTTTCCAGTTTTCTGACGTAAAAACTGACCCCTCAGTCACAAACTGTGGCTGCTCCCAAAACAAACAGGAAGRTCTTTTCACTTTCAGGCACTTGTAGGAGAAATAAGGCGGTTCTTCTGTAGGGAACCACAAACTGAGCTTTAAATCAAACAATGAAGCATCAACTCGCTGACTTATTACTTGTTATAGATGACATTTATTTATTTCTGTCATATGAAGGTGARTGTTTGACTGTTTTCATGTCTTTGGCTCAGTTTGCAGCTCTGAAATGATCAAAGATCCAGTCTGAGGAGGAAGTGAAGCTGCAGCGTCTCACTCAGTTTCTTCTGAATTCAGTTTAAGTTGCAGCTGATGTTAGAGGTCAGCTGTGATGCTATGCTTTTTATTAGTTAAATGATGCACCTGTCTTGTCAGTGATTGACTCTGTTGTTGACTCGAGTGTTTGAAGAGGTGGTTCTGTCCGAGTCGGGTCAGGTGTCTTCCTGTTTACCTCGTGTCTCAGAGCCTCCATGTTTTAAGAAAAGGGGGCAACAGGAGGCAGCGTGGCCCACCGGCCCTGCGCTGACAGCCRCGTCCCAGCTGAACGCTAAAAGTAGATCGGCCCAAAATAACCGCAGCACACACACAACACACACACAAAGTATGGCTGTACTCRGTCAGAACACGAGGAGATGATTTTTAAAATTCATTACAACTTTTTYTGTTTCTTTGAAAACCAAAGGTTGATGTGTTTCTGGTCTTTTATTGTTTATACCTGTTGTTTAGACAGGAAGTTGTGGAGATGTTTGTGTGTGTGTGCGTGTGTGTGTGTGTGCGTGTGTCCGTGGGAGGCGGGGTCTTCAGCAGCAGCAGCTGTTCTCAGTCCGGTCTTGGTTCTGACTCTTCACTCAGACACCAGTGTAAGAACACAGTTGTTCACAGGAAAATCCCAGATGACTCATGAACATCTACGAGCAGAACTGATCCGTCATCCTGGTAAATGTGGAGCGGTGATGTCAGCGCACACATTCTGAACATCTACACAACAAACCCACATCATCGCTCTGAGCTCATCCTGGAGCTGTGGGACTTCTGTGGATCAAACCAACTAAAGCTCTGAGCTCACCTGGAGCCTCTGACCCGAACAGTCCATTCAGTTTCACAGCACATTGTGATTTTTGTTAAAACACTCCTGTAGTTGTGTATTTTTTTGTGTAGCACCTGCAGCATTTTAAACATTTTTATAAATCAAGGTGAAAAATCATCCACAGAATCCTGATGTTTGCAGGGTTCCTGCAGATCCTTTAAAAGTCTTAAACATCATTGAATTCATCGATCAAAAATTAAGGCCTTAAAATGTCTTAAATCAACCTTCAGAAGTCTTAAAAAGGTTAACGCCTTGTGAATAGGATGACTGTAATTCGTCTCAAATATTAAAATAATTGGTAACGTTTATTTATTTTTAAAACATTCACATGCAGACATTCCTCTTTAACATCACTTCCTGTTGATTCACATGTAAATATCTCAACAACTGTTCATCTGAGCAATGAGAAATTCACATTTCTTACAAACATTTAATGTCACAGGCAGTTTAAAGTTTCATCTACAGCAAATTTGGGTWGAGACCCCACTGTGGGTCCTAAAACTCCAAATTTTGGGTCGTTAGAGGATTTCCAGGAATTAAGTTTAAAACTGATTCTAAATACGTTTCTGCAAATTTTGACAAAAAAATCAGTTCGATATGGATAAAAACAATTGGTTTATTAGGACAATTTGAATACTTCAACCAAAAATACTTTGATTCATGAGTTTCTGGCAGTTTAATTTTATTTTATTTTTGTCATTTGTGTTTATCGTGAAATTGGTCTTAAATTTCATTTCATTTGGCATTAAAAAGTCTTAGATTTAACTTGCTTTAGGAACCCTGGCTTGAACATGTTTTTGTGTTTCTTCAGGCCAGAATAGCGTTTCTGCAGGGCGAACGGAAAGGCCAGGAGAACCTGAAGAACGACCTGGTCAGAAGAATCAAAATGTTAGAATATGCTTTAAAGCAGGAAAGGTAAGAAACTGAAAGTTCTGCTGAAATTCACCTGATAAAACCCTCTAATGTCAAATAAACCCCCAATATTTAGTTAAACGTCATTAAATTCTGTTGAAGTTTTTATTTTAGAAGATATATTTATTTGTTGMGTCTAATCCACATATTCTCTTTTTAAATAAAAGGTGGTTTTATTTATTTATTTTTGCTCTTTTCAGGGCGAAATATCACAAATTAAAATACGGGACAGAGTTAAACCAAGGAGAGATGAGGATGCCGAGCTTTGAATCAGGTAAATAAACACGGTCAGTGTTTTTTCCAGCAGGTGGAGCTTTAATCTCATCCCAGCGTTTTGTTGTTGTTGTTTTTGTTGTTTTTAGACACCAAAGAGTCGGCGGTCTCTGCCGTTCCTGCCAACAGTCAGCTGATGTGGAAACAAGGGCGACAGCTACTCAGACAGTGAGATWACATCTTTAACTGAGAAATCAAAGTGAAACGATTCAAACCAGATGAAGCAGAGARGAGCTGAAAGCTTCAGCTAAAGGCTAGCTAAAAAAAGAGCAACAGCTATCTTAAGGTAGCAGCAGGCTAGCTAAAAGCTTAAAGCAGAGTTCCTGCAGGTCTTTAAGGCATTAAAATCATCGATCTAATAATAAGGCCTTAATTAGCCTGATGATGATGATGATGGTGATGATGATGATGGTGATGATGATGATGATGGTGATGATGATGGTGATGATGATGATGATGATGGACCTATTCAGACTTGATCAGATGTTAATAAATGAAATGAAGAAGAGGTTTTTCTGATGTTTGCTCTAAGATCAGTCCATTTCCTGTTTTCAGGTACCTACAGGAAGTGGGCTACACAGACACCATCCTGGATGTCCGGACTCAAAGGGTCCGGTCTCTTCTGGGCCTGTCGGGTTCGGAGCAGAACGGTTCTGTGGAGAACAAGAACCTGCAGCACCTGATCAACGGGACGGAGCGGTGCAAAGACCCCAAGAGGTACAGAGTCTACCTGAGCCGGGTCAAAGGTCAGACTRGTGTCGGTCCCAACAAACYTTTCTTTATGAAACTTCAGGATTTCAAACGACAATCTGGAGACGTTCAACTTCCTGGAAAACGCCGAGGACAGCGACGAGGAGGAGGAGGATGAAGAGGGGGACCTGATGGATGACATCAGCACGGACAAACACCATCGAGCTAAAAAACACAAAGCTAACGTGAGTTGTGACTCCGCCTCCTCGCTGATCAGCTTGGCTTTGTTTCTGTTGGTGACTCCTCCGCCTCCTCGGCTTTGTTTCTGTTGGTGACTCCTCCCCCTCGGCTTTGTTTCTGTTGGTGACTCCTCCCCCTCCTCGGCTTTGTCTCTGTTGGTGACTCCTCCCCCTCCTCGGCTTTGTTTCTGTTGGTGACTCCTCCCCCTCCTCGGCTTTGTTTCTGTTGGTGACTCCTCCCCCTCCTTGGCTTTGTTTCTGTTGGTGACTCCTCCCCCTCCTCGGCTTTGTTTCTGTTGGTGACTCCTCTTCCTCGCTCAGGTGGGGAACGAGGGCCTAGCCTCGGAGGAAGACGCCGACACGGAGGAGGCCCTGAAGGAGTTTGACTTCCTGGTGACGGCGGAGGATGGAGAGGGGGCGGGCGAAGCTCGCAGCTCTGGAGACGGGACGGAGTGGGGTGAGACGTGGACGAGTTCTTCACCGAAAACCTTCCATCTGGTTTAAATCAGCTGTTAGAACGTGTGTTTGTCCCTCTGCAGCCGAGCCGCTGCCGTTCTCCACAGGGCGGGGGAAGTCCTTCCTACTGGGCGGGTCGGACGACGTTCTGGAAAGCGTGCTGGGTCTGGGCGACCTCGCCGACCTCACCGTCACCAACGACGAGGCGGACTTCGGTTACGATGTGAGAAAGCACGAAGACGGCTCGGGTCCAACAGAGTTCTTGAGCAGCCTAATCACCACGTCCTCGTCTCTGTCCTCAGATGTCCTCCAGCAAGGAGTCCACGTTCAGGAAGACGTGGAACCCCAAGTACACGTTACGGAGCCACTTCGACGGCGTGCGAGCGTTGGCGTTCCACCCCGTCGAGCCTTGTCTGGTCACGGTTTCTGAAGACCACACCCTCAAGCTGTGGAACCTCACCAAGACTGTCCCGGCTAAGAAGTACGGCCTGTAGCTTTATTTTTGAAATCTGTCTGAGACACGTGCTGAGTCACATTTAACTGTTTGAACTTTGATGTCAGAAGGTTCACGAGGTGTTGATGTGACTTTAACTTTAGTAGTTTTAAAAATATTTAACTTTTTTATATTATATATTATATATTAATGCTAACACCGTTATAACTAATGCTAATGCTAACAATGTTTCACTAATGCTGATTCA